CAACGTTTACGGATCCACTGAAGTCTCGATGGCGACCGTGGCGCAGCCAGCTGACGTGCGTAAACATCCCACGTCAGTTGGTCGTCCGTTCTCAGGTTCGCGGGTAGCGGTCTTGGACGACAACGGCAAGCCGGTACGCGGGTCTGCGAAGGGCAGAATCTTCGTTGGCCATCACGCGGCCTTCGAGGGCTATACCGGCGGCGGAAGCAAAGAGATCATCAACGGTCTGGTCTCGACCGGAGACATCGGGCACTTTGAGCGTGGCCGGCTGTACATCGACGGCCGAGACGATGACATGGTGATCTGCGGTGGTGACAATGTTTACCCCGGCGAAGTTGAAGAACTCCTGCTCTCACACCCAGCAGTCATGGATGCATGCGTAATCGGCGTGCCCGATGCTGAGTTTGGTCATCGTCTTCGCGCTGTGCTCGCGCTGCACAGCGGTAGTTCACTCCAGGCCGACGAAGCGCGTGACTTTATCGCAAGTCAATTGACTGAATTCAAGGTGCCCCGGGACGTCATCTTTGTCGATGAGATTCCCCGCAATCCCACCGGTAAAGTGCTTAAGCGTGTGCTCGGCGACGATAAGTTGATGCCGAACTCTATCGGCTGATCGAGTCGGTCCGCGGCTCAGCCGATGGCTACGCACTTGGCGCTGCCGGGTTACCGTCAACGCCCTGGCACGGCATCTGGCATTACGTTCGTGAACTTAGAAGACGAAACCGGCATGCTTAACGTGGTGTGCTCGGCTGGACGGTGGAAGCGTTACCGCCATATCGGCCGCAATAGCGTCGGCCTCATTGTGCGAGGCATCGTCGAGAAACACGGCGGCGCGATCAATCTAGCCGCCGACCGGCTGGACCCGATCGCCTCGGTGTATCCGCAAGCTTCCAACGTTGTTGCTGGCCACCGCAGTCGTGATTTTCCATGAAAGTCAACGCTTGGAGTTATCATGTAGATATGGCATCTACAACCACGATCCGTGTATCGACGCGTACCCGCGACGCACTGGCCGAGTAAGCTCGAGCGCGCAAGATGTCGGTCACCGCGCTCGTCGAGGAACTCGCACACTAGGCGCAACGGACAGAAATGTTTCGTTCCGAAACGTGAACTGGGGTCAGCCGAAGCAGAGGATCGGGCCAACGCCAAGGAGTTGGCCGACTGGGACGCAATATC